TCTCAAACCAAAAAGATAAGACGGACAAATCATATCAAATTCCTTTGAATGATAACGACGCATTTTACAGCATTTACACATGCATAGCAACAGCTCTACATCTTGACGAGATAACGCAAGTAAGAAAGCCTAGAAATTAACTTTTCAGCCCCGACATCGGCAGACAGTAAGTTTGATTTTAAAGCTCGCAGTACTCAGGAGATGATAAGGAACATCATATCAAATAATATTGAAATTTAGCCACTGCTGAATATCTTGGTATTATGTGCATACTCCTTTCCATTAAGATGGCACTGTGTATTATAGAAATGAGCAAAAGGAATAAACAACATTGGCCTGAAGATGGGAGTTGAAAGTCTGGAATACACATCATGAAATTAGAAAAATTATAGTCGTTATCATCTAGATAAGAAAACACTATCAATCTCTCAAAATATGGTTGAGTGTTATCCTTGGAATGCCCAATGTAACCAAATTATTTTGATTGCAAATAAAATTAAAAGATTAGTTTATGAAAGGAATTGAATTTTTTAGTTTAGGGGGATTGTTTGGTAAAACAAGCTATCTCCAAAACTTAAATTTAATGTTTCTGATGTTAGTATTAGAATAAAGTGATACATATGGGTGTAGGCAGGGTCCCAGAGGAGAGTCCGCTCTACCCTCCCCTCCCCTCCCCCTTGGAGGAAAAGTCGTCATGGGATATTGTCGTTAAATACCAGTGAAACCCTGTGAAGGGCAAGTGGGCTGTTGGCTCCTCCCCATGCCTTGCACATAAACAGAGACAAGCATGCTTTCCAATTATTTCTTTCTTCAGATGAATAACCTATCAACATTGCTAACATTAATACTTCAAGATCTAAATTTCTCAAAGCTACATTATACTCACATCTGTTATCTTTTCTCTATTTCCTCTGCGCAAGCTTTAGTAAAAGGTTGTTCCCTCTTAGGGTCCGCTTTGGGTTTATTCTATTTTAAAGATTAAAGTCATCTTTTATTTTCTTTAACTTGCTTTAATGATAAAGAATGATCTAAGAGAAAAGCAATTCATTGCAGCTTCCATAAAAATTAATGAAAAGAGGTACTTATCCTGTAGTTTTCCTTTCTCCAAAAACATTGAATCGTGTAGACCGTGCATCCTGTGTTACGGAAGGCGAGACAACTTTTGAAAATTCGCATGCCGATGAGTGGTGGCACCGACCCGCATCGATGATTTCTTGTATCCCTGTTGCGCCCATCTGCGCATGCGCAGTAGCGGCTCCAGTGAATTTTTGTCGGATTGTGAGGCTTTTTTCCTCGGTTAATAATTAGTTCGGAAAAATGAAACAATGCTATTCAGGCGTAAAATTATGTGTTCTATAACTTTTCTTCATAGGAATTTTTTCTGAAAGTGGGCTCTAAACGAAATATTCGTGAAAAACCGTGCGCGAGCATGAAATCTCCATTGCCTCTGCAGTCTCTTCGAGTGCTTGGGACACACGCTCTCTCCCCTTCCCTGCCCGCCCATCATGGGGCTCTGAGAGACTTGCTTCGCTCCGCCTTTACTAAATTGAGCCGGACGCACAGTCTACGTGATTCAATGTCTTTGCCTTTCTCCTTTCACAAAATGTATTTTAATAATCAATGTCAACTGGTCAGGTACTTATCTGTAATCTAAATTAAACTCAAAGTTGAATGACTTAATGAACTGATGAAGATTGTGATTTACAAGTTATTTTGAACTGGAGCATCTGTTGTGAAAGTGAAGTTGTCTTAACAATTCATTCTGTTGGCTGAGAATTCACAACAATATGCTAGTTTGATTCATTTACTAAAAATTGGTCTTGCTGTGTATAGATTTGTTTAACCACTAAAATACCTCATTGCTGTTCTTAGCTATTGTTATGTATAAAATTATAATTTGTTTTAGTAGGTAATAGATTAGCGCTTCAATATGTAGTTCTCTTTCGTATCAGACTCTCCTAGCAGAATAAATCAAAGCCAGCCTTCTCACTCTCTGTTCATCTCGCCTCATTTGCTTTTCTTTTTTTTCTCATTTTTTTTTAATATATTCATTTCAATTTGTAATCAGTTTCTAAGAATGTTTGGGGTATAAGAGCATTCTTCATGTTTAAAATAATAAAATCAGTTTTCAATTAAAATAATAAATCAATTTTTAATGAATTCAAATGTACTTTTTCCAATACATGTAATATCTAATGAATTCCAATGCCATCGAAGAGGGTTTCCACAGGTCTGTGATTAGTGCCAAAATTTCAAAGTAGGTCCACAGTACGCACCGACAATGAAACTGCAAAAATCCGTGTCTTGGTTACAGTGTTTCAAAATCTCCGTTCCTATTTTATTTTTTTTAAAAGAAGACCTGAACCAGCACCATAGCTTGAAATTTTCATAGAATATTCTTCACATAGAGAAGAATAATCACGAAAGTTTTCAAAAAATTATGTGAAGTAATTTTCCTTGACTAGAAAATAAATTTGACAGGAAGTTTACAAACACTGCAAATTCAGACATGCATTTCTGCAGTTTCATCATCGCCATGTATTTGCATGACTCATGAAGTGCAATTTCTCAGGTAGAAAGGTGTGAGATTTCCGAACTTTAATTTCCCAAATTGAATGGAAACTGAAATTTAACAGGTCAATGACCGAAGTGCGAAATTTTGTATCTCCATTGCAGTGTCTTAAAATTTCTACCACTATTTTATTGTTTAAGGAAAGATGAGCAAACTTTGTAATTTGAAATTTATACAGAATATCTTGCTAACAGATAAGAAAAAAAATCAGGAAAGTTTTCAAAGTTATCAGTTTTCAAAAGTAACAGTTTTCCACAGGAAAAATAAATTATGACTGCAAAGCACTGGAAGAAAGTCTGAAAATCGCTAACAGAGAAACGAGGTTTTGCACTGTGGCTTACACACCTGTGAAGCATTATCTATACTTAGAAGTGACGGACTTTGAGTTTTGAGAATGTGTGTTTTGAAAGTTTTCAAGGTCATGTCTTTTGAAAATAAAAGATTGGCTCGCTCGCTTTTTGAACTGACAACAAAACCTTCCCCTAAAAACGTTTTCCATAAAATTTAACCCGAAGCGTTCGGGCAGGCTCGGATGAAACACGAGTTGTTCGTGTGGCAACAAATCATAACAAATTTACACAGATGAGAAGATGGATCTCGAAGTTAATGCTTTGCCTTTAATGTTGCCACGCCAAGGAATTATAAAAAATCTTCAAAATATTCGCTCATGAATTCAGTGAACTTTTCATCCCAGAAATTTGCAAAGTCCATCTTATATCAAGCCTCTAAACTCAGTGCTGAAGACGAATTTTTACTTAATTTGGTGTTTCAACCCATCATTTTCCCTTCATAATTGGATTGCATTTTGCAAAAAGGAGCATCCCAATGTTGCCAAGATTGAGCATTTTTTTTTTTACCTTGCAAATATAAACTGATTATCTAAACAATTTTTATCTTTACTCCCAATAAACTATAAATCCAAGATGAAAATTACCGTTGTAAATTTAATTTTTCTCGTGATTTCAGGAATTTTATTGCAACCACGTAGGTAGGTAAGTTGCACAATCCTAGCAACGGTGGGATACTCTTGGTTCCCTTTTGCAAGAGGCAATCCAATCAAGTTTCGAGTCTGAAACGAAGTGCATGCTCGTCTTAGGGTTTATTTATTTGAGTGAAAAACACCTTTAAATGATAAAATTTCCATATTAAACCAGTTGGGAGCAGCAATACTTACTCTATCTCTAAAAGAAAGTACTTAAGGAAGTAGAGATGCTGTCCCTTGAAAATGATGGATGTTGGCATCTGTCCTTTTCATTGATAGGTATCTATCTCCTTGTGCACTTACTTACGACCAACATTCCTCTATGTACCTAATAGATCGCATTTAGCAAAAAGGAACCAGCGCGATTACAGTGTTTTCAAAATTTTGCAACTTTTTTTCTTTTCTTTTTTTTTTTTTGTTTTAAAAAAAGGTCGTAACTTTATATTATTGTTATATTATAGGGCAACCCCTAGAGAGGGTATTTTAATATAGTATAAGCACTGTCCTCCCTCCCCACAATAGGAGGAATATCTCGGAATTTTGAATATCTGAGGCTATTTGTTTGATCAGTATTAATTACAGTATTTTTATTACTGATTTCTCTTCCTGTTCTTGCAGGGGCGATTACAATGTTGTTGATAGATCGAAATTTTAATAGATCTTTTTATGATCCTCTAGGAGGAGGTGATCCTATTTTATATCAGCACTTGTTCTGGTTTTTTGGCCATCCAGAGGTTTATGTTCTTGTCTTACCAGGATTTGGAATTGTTTCTCATCTAATCAGCAGTGAGGCTGGAAAATTAGAGGTATTTGGAAGGTTGGGTATAATTTATGCTATATTGACTATTGGCATCTTAGGGTTTATTGTTTAAGGTCATCATATATTTACAGTTGGAATAGATGTAGATACTCGAGCTTATTTCACTTCAGCTACTATGATTATTGCCTGGGGCTGGTTCAGTAGGGACGGAGGGGGGATGGGACTTAAAGCGTGGGATTAGCCCTTGAGGGCTATTTGAAGTAGTAAAAAAAAAAAAAAAAAAAAAAAAAAAAGAAAATACCCAAAATACGCACAGTACTAAGATTCACACAATTATTTTCCCTTAAAATTGACAATTCTTTGGTGGGAAGCAAAAACAATTTGTTGTTCTGGGAACTTTTTTTAGATATTTATGGAGAAGCAACATTTTCATTACAAATCGCGCTGGTTCCTCTTTGTTAATCCAATGTCATCTTGAAAAATATTGATGACCGAACATCTCCCCCCCCCCCCCCCCCCCCCCCGGGCAATCTTTTCCCGAGGCACAGATCAGCCCATTTGAATTTTGCCGCCTTCTCAAAAATCCATGCTCCAATTGGATAAATTATAACACCAGGGACCAGTTCTCGTCCCTGATAACACCGCTCCTGCCTCCCCGTCCCCTGCCTCCACACTTCATATTTAAGGTTATGTTTTCAATTTTTCATTAAACGTGGTGTCGTGACTGCATGTATTGCTATTTCACTTCACACCTAATTAAATTAGTGATAGTATTTATTCGCCGTCGAATCAATTATCGTCGAGTTTCACCTCACGTGAGCAAAGTGGACCTTGTACTCCTACTGCTATTCGCGGTTATCTCCTAGATGTTCAACAAACAGTTCAGCGCAAACTTCAGTGCTAAGTTTTCCTCTCTTTTTATGAACAGTACAGTCAGCGAATGATACAGATTAAGTACCTCAATTTTTCTGTCGTGTTGAGCATATTCAGACCATTCAACGGTGCAATTAAATGATTCAACAAGACATTACTCTTTATTCCATTTAGTTCTTGAGATTGTTACTTACAAATTGAATGATGGACCTTCTAACAAATGCTGTTATTCCGCCCAATTAAGAGAAGTACAATTTTTAAGCACAAATCCAGTGTCTGGTGAAATGGCTCCTCTCCGTTTTTGTAGAAACATTAACTTCCTGTGGGCTTCGACAGAAAGTAAAATTCATCGTGCTTTTAATAGAAGCATCACTACTTCCACAGTATCGAGTAAGAAATATGAGGAGGCACCCCCCACAAATCCAGCTGAACGAAGTATATTTGCTGTGAAGAAAGGTTTGCAGCGCCTTAAAAAGCGACTAGATGACCCTAACAATGAGTATCCAGAATTAACCAAGGCTGAAAAGTTTCGATCCTTTCCCACTGCGACTGATGTTCTTGTCATCGGTGCTGGTGCAATGGGGAGCTCAGTTGCTTACTGGCTGAAAGAAGAGGCCGGTGATGCTTTAGACGTTCTTGTGATTGACAAAGACTTTTCGGTAATGGAAGATGTTTCAAGACTCTCGGAGGTATAACTTGCATTTGCTTTCATTTGGTGTTAACTATTTAACCATGCTTAATGCATTGAAACTAAGTAATGCACTAGCTTAGGTTTATATTGTTTCTTGACTATAGATTCAGAATGTCTGAGGGTTAACCAGCGGGATTTCAGGGTGTAGATCTTTAGGTTAATGTAAGTAAGGGCTAACTTTCTCTGACAAGAGCTTCACTTTAAGTGACTCAGTTCCTGAACTATGAGGAATGCATGAGGACGGGGAAAGCAAGTGTTCAATACTACTTGCATCAGGAATTTACAAGGGTCTCAGGTTTAACCAGCGAGTATGCCAATCACACACTACCACAATGGGCAAATCAAAGGAAGAATCTTCTTTCCTATGAACCTAATTCCTACAATTGAACTCTGTGAAGCTGCAACCCCACAAAGTTTAAAAAAGATTTTGTTTTTTCCCAATTCTGAAAACAAGTTCAGGCGGATTGTCATGAATACATGTCAATAGCTTTGATTTTTAGTGCCAAATTCGAAGAGGCTGGTCTAGATTTGGGGTTCATTTACTTTCAATAGGTAAAATTTTGTATTTCCGCAGGATAAATTGCAGTTCTAACTGCAGAGTTACCAAAGCAAGATAAGAGAACCAGTTAAACAATTTTAGTCCCCTTTCGAAGGAGTGACTGTTTCTGAAATATTGAGCATGAAAGTTCAATAAGTTGTGCTCCATAAAGAAGTGGTGCTGCATTGCATGGCTCAAGGTGACAGATCGAGAGAGGAAAATTCGACTACTATGTTATCCCCCTCACCCTCATCTTTTGCTACCTCGTGGTTTAGCTCCTCATCCAGAGATCATGATTCAACCACAAGTAGAGAAAAATGTTTTTTTCATCCTCTCTTTGCCCGCTCCTTTCCCTCACTCATCAATGAGTAAAAGGTAGGAGAAGAAGATAGGAATAAATGAATTACAAGAAAAAAAAGAGAAAACAGGCGCGTGCTTGGAAAGAAAGGTTTTACGACTTGCTGTGGTGCTACTTTGCATGAATTAGCAGCCAATTTACAATATCATTTTCATCCAAGAACACATCCACTTGCTCCTTGTAATGTTCATAGCTCATGATGAGTCGCTGAGTCACTTCATTTCAATACTAAATTAATTGGGTTAATTTCTCATTTTTATGACACGGTTTTCCGCTGGCCTTAAACATATCGACAGTGCAAGTGGGCAATCACATAACTCGGCTTGTGACGTTGCAGATTTCCTGTCATACTTTATTTTTTAAACGGAAATCTACTCAACGGCAATTCTTTAAAACTGCCATGATTTTTCCTCTCTGTGCAAAGAAAATTGGACTGAGTTAAGCAGAAAGGAACCAACCCACATTTTGGAAAAAATTGAGTTATGAGTGGTTTTGAACTCAACCACTGCCCTACTACCTATCGCCAAAAAATCAGAGTTTTTGTTGGAGCAAATTTTGCAGAAATTGGACTTGAAGTTCATCTTTAACACGGAGTCTTATGCAGGAGCAAAACTTTAAACCTCTTTTTCTCCGTTCGATCCCGGTGTGGCTTGGTTCCTTTCTGTTTAACGCGGTCCAATTCTGCATAAACTTTAAGGAATGATGTCAATTTGTGCTCCTTTAAAGAATAACATAGAGGCGGAGATTTTCAGACACCGAAAACGAAATAGGTGATTGCGGACTTACGCTGTCGATATGTTCTGGTTCCAGTCATGCTCGCAAGAAAAAATTATTCATTAATATTTCACTTAAAAATTGACTAACTAACATAACAGAGGAGACATGCAAGAAGACCATTGAAATTTGATTCCTGCTGACACCCTGTATTGCTGGTTGTATGTTTCAATCACTTTTTTTCGTTTTCTCCTCTTTAAAAAATTTTATATTTTCTTGAAGTAAATTTCTCTCACTTTTTCAGCATCCTCCCAAAACCATCTGTTACATGTGAAGGAATATCTGAATGACAGAAAAAGGCATGTTTTGTGGGTCTCGTGGATGCCCCATACCATAGGTGCAGCTAGGGGGGTCTCTGGAAGGCCTTGGTATTCGTGCCC